ATGGTAGCAATGGCACTGTTACACAATAACAATGGTAGCAATGGCACTGTAACACCGTAGCGATGGTAGCAATGGTCCTGTTACACAGTAAGCACAGTATAGCTATAGTACTGTAACACTATGAACTCTGAAATCAGGGGTGATAGAGGTGTCTGTATCATTCAGTGCTTCCTGTCATGTGACACCATCTGCTGCTTCTCAGGTGGACCATAGTAACAGAGATGAGTGTGAGTCGCAGTGCCACCGGCGTGACAGTGTTTGATGGGCGGATCTTTGTCTCTGGCGGCCATGACGGCCTGCAGATCTTCAACACGGTCAGTGGAGCCTCTGTGATCATGTTAGTATGACGTCGCCAGCCGGTTTACCTGTCTGACCCTTCTGTTCCTCAGGTGGAGTACTATAACCACTACACGGACCGCTGGCACCCGGCCCCACCAATGCTCAACAAGCGGTGCCGTCACGGCGCAGCGGCGCTGGGCAGCCACATGTACGTTGCCGGAGGGTATGACGGCTCGGGCTTCCTTAGTGGCGTGGAGGTTTTCAGTTCGGCGTCGGCTCAGTGGAGCCTCCTGGTGACCATGAACACGCGGCGCAGCAGGGTGTCCCTGGTGTCCACGGCGGGCCGTCTGTACGCTGTGGGTGGGTACGACGGGCAGTCCAACCTGAACTCGGTGGAGATGTACAACCCCGACACCAACCGCTGGATGTTCATGGCGCCCATGGGGAGCCATGAGGGTGGGGTGGGGGTGGGCTGCATCCCCCTGCAGCCTTCCTAGCCCAAGTGCCCTGAAAGGACTGAACCCTGGCTGCAAGAGGGGGCGTGGTCTCAGGCAGAAACCAGTGGACATTACGGGTACGACGGCAATGCTCTCAATGGCAGGCTACTGCCAGGCCCAAAAAACTGTAGAGCTCTCAGCAGCTGGCATCCTGCTTGTAGGATTACTTATCAATTTCTGATTGGTCAGAAAGGGGCAGGAGGCCCAGATGGAACAGCTGGAGGGGCGGAGCTTCATGGCCTACTGGATGGAGGGGTGAAGCTTCGAGTCCTGGATGAACCAGAGGGCGGGGCTTCATCTACTAGATGGCAGGGAAGGGCTTTTGTGTCCTATTGGGTCAAGGGGTGCAGCCTAGTGACATGGGTGGGGATGAAGCTCCTTGGCCTGCGGATTGGAGGGGCGGAGCTTCATAGCCAGAATGGGTTATGAGGGGGTGAAGCTCTTACCAGTAGGATGTAGGAGGCGGAGCCTCAGGGCTTGTAGGGTAGATGGAGCTTAACCTGTTTTAGATGGAGGGGCAGAGCCTGTTATAGACAGGTGGAGCAGGGTCAGCAGGTTTCCTCTTCCAATGCTGCAAAGGCTGTTTGTTTACTAAAGGTGCTGCACAGCTTTGTGCTGTTTGCATTTGATAAGAATAATTTATTATTAAAATAATTTATTCCTGCAATGTGTCTGATTCCATTTCCTGTGAGCCTACCGATTTCTTCTGATCCGGTTCCTCTGATCTAATGATCACTGCATTGATGAGCCTTTTAAAATCAAGAAGCTACTTATTTAATTTTTTTACTCTCTGTTTTTCAATTTTAAAAACAAAAGACTAAATTCAAAATGTGAATAGTCCCACACATTCTCATCTTCATACTTTGGATCTTGTGCTGACATACGGCA